TTTTTATTCACGTGAATTTTTCTATTCTCTTTCTACATATCATATAAATATTACATCATTAGTTGTATACAATTTAAATTAGTTTTGTTTCTTGGTACAGTTATGATATTCCCGGATGGGCTAATATTTTAATTATAATATATTCTTAATTATCTTTTCTGAGCAACATTTTTTTAACTTTATTAGGAAATGTGTTCAAAATGTGTTTCAAATTCTCTGCAGAGCCTTTATTAATTTTAACAGTATTTAATATTTTACTTAAAATTTTAATTATTTATAATAATAATTAGAGTTGTTAGTAGTATAAATACGATTTTTAAGACATTTTTTAAAAAATGTCTTAAAACATCGTATTTGAAAATGTGTTAAAAATATATTTATACATTTTTACATACTACATAATAATCTCGATATTTATTAAAATATAGTAAAACCTAAACCTACAGGGCAATTTAAAATAAATGAAGGGTAAAAAATTTAAAAAAATAAATTTTATGTATTTTTTGTTATTTTTTATTTTAGTATTTTTTTGGAATTTTATATTTATTTTATTATTTTTTTTTGTATTTTATATCTATATTAATTTTTTGGTTTTTTATTTATTGTTTTTTTGATTTTATTACTTTTTAATAAGATTTCATATTCTATATGGGTATAAGCTTACGACCTAGGTAAAATGTAAGTTTCGCCGATTCAATGACAAATGATTTTACAGCAACAACAATATCTGAGCATGTCTCTTTTACAAAGGACCAAGCAGAAGTAAACACACCTGGTTCGTGGTAAACTACTGTAAATGTTGGTCTGTATACCTGTTTCCATTCTTTCTCTTTCTCATCGTAAATAAACCATACATGACCAGTCGGGGTCCAAGTTATATTTGTAAAATTTGGTTGAGGGGGTAAATGTAAAACATGTTGGAAAGTGCTCGGTTTGGGCGTTCGTCGAAATAATGAAACTTTCGCCTCCTGAACTTTCCATATTCTTCGATATTCACAGTATACATACCCAAAAATAAAAATAAAAATAATTTTATTAAACATTTTTTAATAACAATAATATAAAATAGAACATATCACTTATATATTTTCATAAATTTTCGGATTGTTCAACTGCTTCCAGTACATCTATACATTCAATTGGGTAAAAATATTGATGTCTTCTTCCTCCAGCAACACAAATAAGTGGTAATTGCGGATATGCAATATCAATTCGATGTCGAACATAAAAATATTGTCTTATTGTAACACGTAAATATCCACGTAGAGCAAATATCTGATCAGCCCCCATTTTCGTTAACTTGCTTGGATAAATTTCCATCTGTTGATGCTTTAGATGGTTTGTGAGTAGAGCTTTCTTTCTAGGTTCAGTAAAATCTCTTTGACCAATTCCTGAAATGGCAACATCATCATTTGTCATGCTAGTAAGAGTCTGCAAGTAATTGATATTTTCATTAAATTTTTTCCGTAGTTCGCGATGAAGTGATTCTGGGGCACATCCTCCATTGAAACGACAAAGTATTTGAATAAGTGGTGTTAATTGAACTCCATGTGTAGGACTTATAGGTTCAGTCATGTTGTCGCTAGTACGCATTTTTTAATAGCAAACTGTTTTGTAATAAATAACTATGCCTCTTATATACCAAGAGGGCCTTTAGCAAATCGAATACTTGTCATCGCATCCTTTCCTTTCTTACGGATATTTGTATGTAGTTTGAATAATAAAGCCAAGACAAATAATAAACCCAAATCCAAAATATATGCTATTATAAGAAGAATATCTTTATTAGGAGTTATAGCAGGACCGATAGAAAGTGCATGCCCCCCGTCAATAGCAAAACAAGCATTTACATTTGGAGGAAAGGGTCCATGCAAGGGAAATAGTATATTACTGTCATTTTGTGATAATATTACACAAAATAGTGGAAATAATATTAAAATTGAATATATCATTTTAGTAACTAAATTATAATATTAATTCTTATCTTATATACGAAAGATGCTGAATAAATCGTCTTAAAAAGGCATCACGGCCTTCTGGGGGAATTGAATGTAATTTTTGTAATGTTGAAGAGAAATTATTTTTTGAACGCAATACAAGAAAATATATACAATAATGGCCACAAGTATCTGACAAAGGGGATTGCAAAGAAAATTTATTTTGTTTCACTTTAGAAAACTTGCCAAGCATAGATTGTCTCATGTCACAATTTGGTTCTTCTGCAAATGAGTCAAAGTATTCCACCGTACTCGGATTATCAGAATAACAAGCAATCCAATGTTCGCCAACTGTTCCTTTTCGCATATTATTTACAATAAAACAAAAAGGCTTAGTCCATTCTTTATTTGGTATATTATCAGAAGAAAACACACCAAGAAACTTATTTTTTAGAGGTTTATATTTTTTGAGTAGATTTTCGATTTGGAGAGAATTCATTATTAGACAGATCCATCGGTACTTAACACACGATCTGCATTTATGGACATTATTGCATCGAATTCACCCATGATTATCATTTCATATCCTTCATCCTTTACAGGATGATTGAACAAGCAACGGACCGTTGTTGTTCCTTGTCTAATAAGTTCCAGCCCGTTAGTGTCTTCGAGCGTTGAAGTCATAGGTATAACAAAGAAACAAGATGATTGTGAAAATTCCTTCATCCCTATACTTAAAGTTCTTTGATCAGAATTTGGCCAAGCATCTAAGTCCATACCTACATACATATCAACAAAAGCACGCACAAAGCTGTCATTCGAAAAATCAAGATCATATGGCACCGCTGGAAACTGGAAGCCGCCAAATTCGGCTGAAACAGTTCGCAGGTTCGCATGCTCAAATGTGAACGGTGACAACGAAGTATTTCCCGTATATGCAGGCGAGCTTACAAAACAAATCACTAACCGTCTCGGACACGTACTTGTGAACGCGGCATGTGTAATTTCCTGGCGACCTTTTCCAAGAAAAACGCTCCTAATTTCAATCTTTCTATAGGCATATTTTGCAGGAGACTGTTCTAAATGTCTAGCAATAGCATTATTTAGTGACATACTTAAATCAACTTGTTTAACAAAAATTCTCATATCATGAAGTCGTAGGCGGTATGTGCTTGTATTATTTAATAATTCTTCACCAGCTTTTTTGCGATATTTTGGAGCATGAATAAGAAATTCATCGGTATTTCTGTAAAATGTCCAAAGCACATCACTATTAGGAATTAAAAGCTGATTTTGTCTTGCCATATCATAATCCAAATGTGAAAGTAATCTGCAAGTCTGACCATTAGCAAATCTAGATGCCCGCGATTTAAATCCTGAACCTTCAAAATCATTCTTATCAACAGCATCTTTATAATAAAGTGCTGCTTCATAAAGACCTTTGCTGACCTCTCTATCTGATCCTAGCTCATGAAGAAGTATACATCTGTATGCATAATGGATTCCCGAGTCATAGCATTGAATACCATTAATAGATAGAGTTAAACGACGAATCCATGTTAATCCTAAATATTGAGCAACACTTGTAAAACTATCACCCGCGAAATTTCCTGACAAGTCTTTAACAATTGGGACCCATTCACCTGTTGCATCAACCTTACGTTCAAGAGATAACACAAGACTCAAATATGTTTTACTTAAATCAAGGTAGAGAGAGTCACCAAAATAGCGAAAAATAAACGGACCTGCAGATTGATTTAGAGCATTAAGGGGAAGCAATTCTTTATACGCCGAACGTTGAATACCAACATTTGTTGACGGTATAGAAAAGAATGTTAGGCGATTATCAACCCCTTCAGTACTGTTTTTGTCAATTTTCTTAATAGTCGTCATTTTGATTAATGAATAATAATAAGCTAATACTTATATACTCAGATATCATCAAAGCTGAGTTGGTCTCTATATCTTCTTCGTTTCTTTCCTAAATTATCCATAATAACATTCTGTTTTTTCTTTCGTCTTCTTTTGCCTTTCCCACATTGTTCAAGTTTTTTCCCTACTTTTTGAAGACCTTCGCTTCCATGCTGTTTCAATGCTTCACTCACTGAGCGACCTTGTGAAACATCTTCGAGAATATTTTTTCCAACATTTACAGCTTCATTTCCTGCAGTTGTGGCTATATTTTTAACAATAGGCATTAAAAAACGCCCTACAGCCCCAAGTACACCAAATCCTCTTTGATACCTAGTTCCTTGGAAATAACGATTATCTTCAAGTAATCTTCCTCCTCCGTCTTGAGCACTCAAAAATGGCTCCCAGTCAATTTTATCTATGTCTAAACTAACGTGTGTCATGCTTTAAAATAGTGAGCGTTGAAAGTGTAATGTTAATATACAAGTTCCCCAATGGAATTTTACTAGATTTCCAGTTAAGGTTCGAATTTCAATAGTAATGTCTGGATGGCGTTTACCTAATAAACGATGATGATGTTCGGTCATATATACTTCTGAAACACTTTCTCCAGGTTCACCAGATACATTAACAACACGTAATAAGGGTGCAGTTACGTTACCTATTATGCTATTTTCAACAAGTTTTGGTGCATAAACTAAAAATTGACGCACACCTCCAGATATATCAGGCATATACTTTGCGACTTGTCCACTATGAACTTTTTCTGAATCGAAACCAAGAGTATAAGCTAGTTGACGACTTAATTTAATAAATTGTACGTTTCCTTGCAAGAAGACATGAAAACGCTTATGCACTTTATCGTATAGTATGGAAACCCATTGATATTTTGGATCAGCGAGTTGTATATTGGAAAAGCTAAGAAGCATTTTTAGATATTCAGGAGGATAAGCATATTCAGCTAGATGTATTTTCTTAGGCTCCGAGTCAATTAACTCTTCAGATTCTTTTTGCGGGTGAACTTTTTGTTGATAAACATTTTCTTGTTGTGGAAGTTCTTTGGTTTTATCATCAACATGCCTACCTCCATCACCAAAGAAGCTTTTCCAAAAGGAAGGACGTTCAGGAGGGTCAGCAATTAACATTTCAGGACGCGGGAGCTCAGGCAGCGAGCTTAGATCCTCAGGTTGAATTTCTTCTTGCTCTGGTTCTTCTTCAATTGTGGGAAGATTATTCAATTTTTCAGGAGGAGTCCAACCCACTTCCTTATTAATTATTGCTGGAGATTCCTGTGGCTTTCCTAAGCCTTCTTTTTCAGGGGACCATGGTTCTACAGCGTCTTCTTCACTTATTGTTGGTAATTCATGCGACTCATTATCTTCAAGAGTGTCCATTGAATTAGGTACAGGCCCTTCTAAGGGGGGAGTCAAAGGCTCTTCATCTTCATCAATAACTCCTGGAAATTCCTGAATCTTTCCTTTAGAAGATTCTACATGCTCCTCAGTGACTTTTTGTTCAATTTCCTCATGAGGTTCAATATTTTTTTCATCTTCGTGTGTCGTAGACTCTTGAACATTTTCCAATATTTCTTCAGAAGTCTCTTCAGGCGTTTCAGTGACTTCTTGTTCATGTTCGTCGTCGGCATTTTCATCTTCTACAATTGTCGTAGTATCTTCATCCTTTTCTTGGGCAGAAGTTTCTTCAGGCGTTTCAGTGTCCTTTTCATTTATTGTTTCATGTTCCTCACGGGATTCAATATTTTCATCTTCTTCTATGATTGTAGAATTATCTTCATCCTTTTCTTGCGTATTTTCATCATTTTCTTCAGGAGTGTCAGCGACTGCTTGCTCATGTTCCTCATGAGGTTCAATATTTTCACCTTCTACTATAGTCGAAGGATCTTCATCCTTTTCTTGCGTATCTTCAGATTGCTCTTCAGCCATTTCATCGGTTGATTCAGCTTTATCCTCAATATTTTCCTCTTCATGTGTAGAAGGCTCTTTAGCATTTTCTTGCGTATCTTCAGATGTTCCTTGAGGTTCTTCAAAGTCTTCTTGTTCATGTTCTTCGTCAGCATTTTCTTTTTCTGCATGTGCTGAAGGTTCTTCATCCTCTTCATACTTATTTTCAGATGGCTCCTCAGCGACTTTATCTATTGACCCAGCTTCTTCCTCCATATTTTCCTCTTCGTGTGGCTCTTTAGCATTTTCTTGCTTATCTTCAGAGGGTTCTTTAGGCTCTTCTTCATTTATTGATTCATGTTCGCCTTTATTTTCACTATTTTCCTCTTTATGTGTCGAAGACTCTTCAGAATCAGGAGTTGTTATTTTTGATGATGAGGTTTCATCATCTTGTTTCGAAAGTTCAGCCTCAACTTTACTTAAAATTTCTTCCGATAATATTTTTTGTCCTGCTATAGCTTCATCAACTTGATTAGCTAATTCCTTAACCTTTTGTTCTGAGGCCTTAGCACGATCTGCAGCTTTTCGTGCCTCAGTAACATCGCCTCGTGACTCTGAATTTTTAGTTTCTTTTTGTGCTTCTGAGACCCTATCTTTTGCCTCTAAACATTCTTGTATCCATTTGTCTATTTCATTTCTTCGACCAACCAATAATTTTAATTGTGCTATAACCCATTTTATAATAGTTGCAGGTATTTTTCTCTTAGGTATTACTCCAGCTGTTACCTCTGCATCTATTAGTGCATACTTATAACGAGTATCTTCCCAATATTTCTGATTAAGTTCTTTATTTAGTTGTGATTGTTGCTTTGCCAATTCTTCACTATTAGTCAATGATCTTGTAGCTGCACGAACAGCCATATCTATTAAAGTTTTTTGTTCATCTGTTAGGGTTGGCAAAGTATCAGAAAGAGGTGTTATCTTTCCGTCTAAAGGAGTTTTGTCCTTTTGCTTTTCAGTGTCTTGTTGTGTATCATCAAATTTTTCTTCAGAAGCTACTGGAGCTTCAGTAGGGGCATCTGATACAGGAGACTTTGGAATAGGAGGACCATCAGTTATAGAACTATCAGATTTTGTGGAACTTTCTGTTTTTCCATTATGTAGGTTTTTAATTGTACTCTGAGAAGGAGCAGGCGTGTTTGTTTCAGGATTTTCATCAGCATTATCAACTAAACTTGCTTCTTGTAAAGGATTTTCAGATTTAGGCGCGGAAGGTGATTCAAAAAGTTTAATTGCATTAATTATTATATCTTTTTGCTCAGTTTGCGGCTTTAATCGAACAGTTTCAACAGAGCTGTCCGGAACCGAAGATAGAACTGGAAGTTTTGCCCCCTTAATTTCTTTATTTAAATATTGTATAAATTTATAAGCACGATCCTTTGGCATATCGAAGTAACCTTCCGTTTCTAATTGTTGAATGAAACTCTCATACTCAGCAGCAGGCAATATTGTTTTTTGTTCAACTTCGTGCTGTGTTTGTGGAGTAGATTCACGTGTTTTTTCCATAGGAGTAACATTCGAGTGTTCTTCTTCAGTTTGATTGGCTGAGGGAGGATTAGTAAATTCATCAAGTGCCTGTTTGATCCGCTCTATTTGATCCTGATTTGGAGTGAAACGAACCATTGCTATACCATCTACTTCATGAGGCCTTATAGGAGGCATACGAATTCCTTGTTTCCCTAAAAATTTCATGAAATTAAATGCAATTTCCTTTGATAAATCAAAATAACCATTTTTAACTAATTGTTCGCCTATAGTCTCAACAGCTCGTCTTCTACGTAAATTCCCATAAATTCTTTTTTTATTCTCTTCAAGTCTCATTTCCTCTCGCTCGCGATCCAATTCCTTTTTCCAAGCATCAAGCAAAACAGCATTTATGGCCTCTTCCAATGCCTCCTCTGAGGCGAAAGACAAATCTGGAAGTTCGATACGAACAGATAGAAGTTCCTTTCCATATCGGCGATAAATTGTAATAGATTCCTGCTCATCGGAATCTCCAAGTAAAGAGAATGAAAATGGGTAAATAATGTTTGAAAGTGCAACAGTCCAGCTTGAATCTAACTCGAGAGTATCAGGCATTCTTACTGTGAATTTTGAAGTAGTATTTCCTTCAACATCGCCAGAATTCGAAGGTAAAACAACATAAAATGAATCCATTGTCAATGTCTAACTATATCGCTGTCGTTTACCCAACTGTTATGAATATCTTTATAACCAACCCAACGCACAAAGTGTTGCTTTAGCCCTGTACGTGTTGTACGAGTCTTTAAAATTTCGGCAATACGATGTGTAGTATCCTCTTGTGTAGGCACCAACTCTTCTCTATAGAATATTCCTTCAATTAGGTTGTCTTCAAAATCTTTTAACCTATATGTTATAGGAGTACGTGTGTCGTTCGTTGTATGTACAAGAAAAAGTTCGTCAGTATAGTTAGGTAAATATCCTTTTTCAAATTTTCCCTTTTCTTTTGAAATGCGGACAACTTGTCCAGGCTCGAGTTTAGAAGTTATTTTAATAAGTGTACCATTGCCCTTATATAGCCTCTCAAATAATTTTCGAGAATTCTTAAAAGTAACTGAATTAGGTGTAACACCTGTAACACGGTTTACGCTAGAATTTATTCCAGAAACAATTTTCTGAATAGCCTCAACCCACCGCAGTGTGTTTTTTTCACTGAAATATCGATATAATCTTTCCTTTATTGTACGATTTGCCCTTTCTGCCATTGAAGCATGCACATCAGGACTATAAACTACACGCTTATCAATATCCTTTGATATAAAATAATCCCTCATTTTTTTAGCTTCAAATTCTAATCCGCGATCAGTGTATAGTTTATGAGGCAAGATACCATTAGAAAGTTTGAAAATTTTTTCAAATGCCTCAATCATATCTTCTGATCTCTTTGTCTTGACCGGCGCAGCAAAAATCATTCGACTTAGAACATCAATACATACTAAAAGGTACCTGTTACTATCATTATGTTTAGCTATCTGATCAAATATTGCTAAATCTGCTTGCCAATCAGTGTGAAAACCACTTGGACGTGTAACTAGCCTTGGAAAATTTTTTCTGGAGGGTCTATGCATGGTATACACTCTTTGCTTATGCAAAAAATTATAAACATCCTGAAATTTTATCTTTGGATATTTGCGCTTCGCTTCTTCATAAACGCGATTTATTCCTGCATAGGAAGCAGGAGAATTTAACGAATAATATATTTTTGATAAAAAGTTATCTAAAGCTTTTCCCATATTTGTGGAATAAATTTACTTTTCTTTTGCAAATTTATAGGCAGGACTTTTACCAAGACTCTTTTCTTTCTTTTTCCGCTACCTGATTGATTACCAGAACTTTCCTCAGTACTACTTTCTCCTTGCGTCTCTTTGATCATTTCTTTTACTAATGGGTCTTTGGATAATCGATTAAATAGAAAACTAAAACCTTTAGGGGGTGACGATATATCACCTTGTACATATTCGAGCACTTCAGTGAAATTACTATTCTTTACAATTCTTCCTTTGACATTAGATTCAAAGCTTCCATTCTTAAGTATTCTAAATTTTTCAGCATTATCTTTGACATAATTTTCTAAATCCTTAGAATATCTCTTTGAAATAATTCCATTAAAAGGTGTTGTTTTTCTTCTTTTCATTAGTTTTGGCGATGTAAATTCTGAATCTGTTTGATATTCTGAACTTGATTGTACAGGCATTACCTGTACTTTAGGGGCTGCAGTTTCCTTTAGGTAAGGAGCAACTTCTGTAGCTCTCGCTGTTTCATCGATTATCACCTTTTGAGGCCTATTTTCTAATTCATGTTTGAGTTGTCTTCTTTTTTTATATAACAATTTATATTTTTGTGCCTTTACATCTTCACTTAAATTTGGATCAGTAAGAGTCTGTTTAATTTTTGAGTCGGTTTGTACCTTTTCATTTTGAAGAAAATCTACGCCTTTAATCATGCTTAGAAGTGCAAGATATTCACTTTCAGGAACCATAATCATTTTCTTTGTATGTTTCATTCTTGTGTGAATCTATGAATAATATGTTCCGCCAAAGCTCCAAGCACTGGTACAAGTATAGCTGCTAGAGCGGCACTACCTCCTTGTTGTATTCGATTTCTGGCGCTTTTTTCTGTACGTGTTCGAGCGATAGCCCTATAAAACTCAGCAAATTGAGCTAATTTTTTGCGCTGTCTTCTATTTAATATAAAATTATTTTTTAAAATATTAGCACAGATTTCAACTATTGCTAATATTTGATCCGCGCTTGCTGATAGAATTAAGGCGTTTTTCTTTTTATCGGAAGATGTTTTAGATAAACGCTGTAAAAATTCAAAATTTTCTTTAACGTATGGACTATAGTTATACATGTTTCAATTTAGTAGTTTTTTTCAAGTACTTATATATTATAGAGGCAAATATATAGTCTGTTTTTCACCTGGAAATATTTTAGTAGAAAGTCTCAAATTCTCTTCCGTACTTGGATGCATATTAATTAGTAAATAGGAAAATTTATCACTAGTAGCATCACGATAAGCCTCGAGAAAATAGTTTAACATTTTTGGAAAAAGTTGAGATCCTAATGTACGTACCTGGAGAAGTCCTTGAGGATTTTTGGTTAAAAGAATATAATGTGCATTTGCACGAGCAGTCCTGATATCTTGTCCGTAAAGTGATTGCGTTACAAAGATTACGCTTATACACCAATTATGCGATCCCCGAGTGAACAGTAAATCTAAAAATTCCGCAGGGATATTCAGCATTAAATCATCTAGTACTATTAATTGGTGTTGTTTAATTAGATCAACTTCTGGAACCCCATTATAAGTTGTAATTCCCATATTTTTTAGTTTAAATATATTTTCGTTCATTTCGCCAAAACAATATAAAATTTTATTTGGCGGAGGTTCAACTAATTCTTCAAAATTGTTTAGAAATTTCATTATCCATTGGGTTTTTCCGGTGCCTGTGGCACCGGAAATAACCATAGTGAAAGGTGCTTTGAACATTTTTTATTTTTAAAAATATTTTGCTTGACTTATATATTTAGATGTTTCCTAAGGCAATCATACAAAATGTTGTATCTACGGCACAACTACTTGATAAAAATAATAAATTCGATCTATATACAATTGAAACTATTATTAAAAATTCAAAATATTCTCCAGAACGTTTCTCAGCACTTATAATTAAAGTTGAACAACCCATTAGGTCTACTGCTCTGGTATTTTCTAACGGAAAGATTGTATGTGTTGGAACAAAATCGGTTAATGAATCAGAAATTGGTATTAGGAATTTTGTTCACCTCTTATCCTCTGCATGTGACTTAGCAATAAATATGCGGGCTTTTAAAATACAAAATATTGTATCTTCATTTGAATTTCCCGGTCATCTTAACTTACCAGGTTGTTTAATTTATAACTATTTATTATTTTTAGTTTTGTATGATACGATGCGAATTGCTCCACCAAAATGGTTAGCTCGATATATTTCTTACTACCCAGAATTTTTCCCGGGAATGTGCCTAAGGATGAATGATTCACGTTCAGTTGTCATAGTTTTTACAACAGGAAAATGTATAATTACAGGCGCAAAGACAGAGAAAGAAGTTTATTATGTTCAAAATAAAGTTTACAATTCAATTTTAATGTTTTTAAAAAATTAATAAATACTTGTATTAATTTCGCTTCTTAATTCCATTAAAAGCTTGCCAAGTATATTATCACCTTCCCATTGACTAGGACCTTTAAGTCGAGCACTTTTTGGACTTACACCGTTGCTCCAGTGTAGTTCTGATGTTGAAGCCTGGGTAATAAGACCATCGCCTGTGGCACGTAACTGGTTGAATAGTTGCGTGTTCTGCGTGAATTTTGCCCAAAGACCTGTGTACATAACCTGATAATTTAAACATAAGATTAGCCAAGATAAAATTTTACTATTTTACTTTATTACGAACAGAATTCCATTCATCATGATTATATTGACGGATACGTTTACCGATTCGTCGTATAGTCAAAGGATTATCGGACAGTAAAACATGACTAGCAATTTCCAAGTCTCCAAAAAAGCGCGCCTTCTGCCATATAAAGTATTGTTCTATTGAACTAAATGTTCTTCCAAGCAATGTGAAATTGGCTCTAAATCGATTATCAAAGCCAAAACGTTGCGAATAGAATACAAATATATTTTGTTGTTGATCTCCAAGAATTTCTTCAGGAGGATACGATTTTGCTTCGTGATTTAAATGTAATCGCTCAAGAATGCATGCTGTCGTTTCTATAAATTTTAAATTAATACTTTAGTAATTGATTACCTATTTTATTATCACTAATCATACTTCACTTTACTTAAATAAAATTAAAAATTAAAGTAATTTAAAGTAATATATAAAGTTGAAAACAAATAAAATACAGATTTTAAAAATGTGTATATTTATGCAAGAATATTTATTCTGTAGGATCAATAATGGGATTTCCTCTGTAACCATAAGGATAGCAGTCAAAATTTGCATCAACTATTCCTTTATCATAGATCGGAGCGTAGCGTCTGCAAATATTTCTTTTAAAAATTCTATTTTACTAATACCTTGTTTGAGAACGACTTGTTACTTCACCTTGTCGCCAGCTTGGTTGAAAATGAGTTCTTTTTAGGACAACTGGGTCCTGATCATCTCCGTAAGACTCTACCATTCTCTAGAAATTAAACTTGAATTAAAAATTAAAAAATTATACTAGAAATTGGTTAAAATCTAATGGAGAGTCAACACTATCCCAACATCCACGGCATTTGATAATATATTTAATTTCGCCACTTTCCCTATGTTTCATCTTCATTGCGTACTAAGAATTTTTTGTTAATTAAAAATTAAATATTTATACCTGTTTACAGCCGCCCGTATAAAAAGCTACAATAGACCAGTCTTCATATTCGCGACTCATCATTCCAAGCATATCTCCCACACGAAATGGTGCATTTTTATTTAGTTTTTTGACAAAGAAACAACTATCTGTATCCGTGTAGAGGAGTTTACATTTGTTTTCCTTAACAATTCGATCCATATAATCATAAAGCATAACTCTTGCAGTTGCAGTTGTTATTAAAGCCAAAATAATATTGTATTTGTCATGAGGTCGGACAAATTCACTTCGATTCCGATAAGGGATAGCAAAGAGATTCGGTGCCAACATTTCAATTGCTCCTACTTCCAGCTTAGGATCATTAAGAATTGTGTGGAATTTTATAGGAGAGCTAGTTATACAATCTTGAGTTAAATTGCATCTAAGTGCCCATCGTCCCCACCTAAAATTTAGATATAAGAAGTAATAATATTTTCTTACATTGAATTATTACAGGTTTTAGCTAAATAACGCAATCCTTCGTTTTTGGCAATTCGTGAAGGTACAAGTTTTATGCCATATTCCTTCTGATTGCGATGGATAAAATCATTTTTGAGCTTTTCCTCTAATTCTGGATTTTCTGGGGAGAGAACGCTGCTGGGCCAACCGCTTGCCTTTAAAAAAGTTAATAATCTTTTCTTAAATTAAACCTCAATTTTTAAGCGCATCATGTCTTGAACGTATGGGCGTAGTAACGTATCAGACCACTCATCCCAGTGATAAATGCTAAAAACTTTTGTTGCGCGATAGCCCATTCTCAAGGCTAACTCGAGTTCCACTGAACAAGTAGTGCTTACAAATCCCCGTTGTTTGTCGTTATGTGTACACCATCTTCTACCATTTACTCTGTCATACTTATTTTCTTTTCGCTTCGCTACTCCCGGTTCCATTTCGATTGCGCAGCGGTGGCATAAATGGAATATCTTTACATATACAGAAAAATTAAAAGAATGACTCACTAATTTTCCGTTAATTCTTTCTGGAATTACAGGTAAATATAAATTGTCAGGTGGAATGATAAATATTTTAAATAGTCCTCGATAAGGATGAACATCTTCAGGTTTCGTCCAATTTATTTCAAGATTCAAATCTAATACTTCTGGATGTCCTAAAAATATGTATTATTTAAAATTAAGAGACTAACCAATAGGATAAAAAGCGTAAAAGTTCACGGCTGGGTAAAGACTAACGACGTCATAGCACACTATTTCAAATTTATTTTCTGCAATATCTTCAAGATTGCATTTAAGCGATAATGGACCAGTTCTTCCACCTAGAGTAGCAAGATTATAATTGTAAAAAAATTCACAACCGTGGAATGCATCACGTGGAAATAAAGGACCAATGTCTGGCAATTCAGAAAAGTAAAGTGACATTAAGGGATCTTCTTCTAACGCTTTGCTTACTTCGCACTCCCAAAATATGTAAGTATATATTCCTTCGTTTTTCAATAAATCTATTCTTTCATTTAATTTGTCTTTATTGTACAACGATGTTTTACCATTCAGACAGATTTCATGAGGACGGTAGAGGCTTAATCGATATATAAATATAAATAAAAATATATTAACCATTCATGACCATGCCATGCACATCCGAGAAACTCTATAGCTATATCATCACCACCATTTTTGCCTTCGATATATCCATCAAGTCGTAGAAGACTTCCATCTGAAACTTTAATTCTAAATTCGCCTTCAGCAGATTCTCGGTTTTGTATTTTAAGGCCTGTTTTATATTCGAGCCATCGAATAAATTTTAAGGCGATTGCAGACTGATTAGTATCTCTGTGATATCCATTGTCAGGAATAATACCAATTTGGTTATTTTTCAAATAATTTATGCCTAAATAAAAATATTTTAGATTTATTTTAAAAAATTACAAAAATGTCGTAGACATGCACTAGCCAAAGTCATTGAAGAAACGATGATATCATCTCTTTTAGATGGTTCAGGAGCGAGTTCAAAGAAAAGTCTTTGAAGTTTAACAAGCGCATGTGCCAGTATTCTTACATCCTGTTCGCAATATTCAACTATTTTTTCCCGAAGACAGAATGGCTCGTTCTTGTTTAGATTGTACCATTCTTCAAACATTTTTCTTCTATCTTTTCCCATAGAATCGGGGTAATAATAATGACGATCAGTATACGGGCAAAATCCAGCTTTTTTCTTCAAAAGAACCTCGTAAAGTTTGTTTCCTGTCCTGGTTATATTTGGTTCGATTGAAAAATGCCTTATCAATTCTCCAAGAAGCAAATGCATATCATAACGTCTAATGTAAAAAATAAATTTTATCAAATAGAATACAAACCCTCCATAATGTGAGATTGCATATGTGCGACCGGCCCGCTCTCTACCCAATCCATCTATTAACCATTCGAGAAATACACGTAAAGGATTTTCATATTTAGCGCCTGACCAACTTTGCATTCTTGATCTTCCAGGACCGCAATTTTTACATTCACCCGTATTCTCGTCTTTCCATTCATCGTTTTTCATACAAATCGAGCATAACAAAAGTGCCTAGTTGAAATTTTTATTTGTATTATTGATTTAAATAACCGAAACACAATTCACGTGATGCAACCGATAATTTTCGTCTTCAGGTAAGTCATTTATGTCCTTTTCAAGCTTACACCATTCATCTATATTTTTTAAGGGTGACATAAGCTCACATTCAAAATCAAATACAACCTAAATAATTTATCTATATAAAATAAAATACTCCCACCAAAAGATAATCTCTTTGTTTTTGACTAGGAACAATAGTTTGAACAAAACATTTCTCATCACGATTGTGCCAGGATCGACATAGAGAACAGAAATGAACATAGCACATATGATGCCCTTCATTATATTTAACACTATAGATTTGGCCACATTCCTTGCATCTATATATTCTTTTATATTTTACTTTATTTTAAATATGACCTTTTGAAAATCCTACAAATTCCTTTATCTACATGTCGTTTGTAACATAATGGATTACGGAACAAATTATAACATTTTAAGCACTTTAATTCAAAATTATCAACTTCTTTACATGGAAAATCTGGACCCATCCCACAGCAACGTGGACATTTTGCTGCACATATTTGTCTATGTTTAATATTATTTTGGTATGTAGCTTCACAGTCTAAGCAATAATATATATTTTTGCCAAAAAATGTATTTAATCTCCTTATGCCATAGTAATGACCATCCTTTAAGTAAAGACTAATATCTTTTTGTGCTCGGTTAGGTCCTTTCCAAATAGGACGAGTCTGGCCATTTTCACCAAAAACCGATAATCTGTATTGCCCAGGAAATCGTGCATTTAAAAATTTTTGTATCAATGGAACATGTTCTTCCACACTATAATGTTGTAAATTTGCAGGATATCTGATTCCGTGCCTCTTCATTTGTGTAAGTATATCCTTGATATACGCGCAGCGATGTAATTTAGCGCTTGCTCCTATGCCATTTACAAGTCTTTGAAATGTTTTATTTGCTTTGACTGTCTTAGACATGTTGACGTAAAGTATTGTAAGCTGTACAGCCAATAGAAGGCAATGATATTTGTAGTGTTCTCCGAGATTTTCATTTTGAACCTATCTTAATATAAATTATTCTTTAAATGGAAAAACCTCTATTAGATTGTTTGTATCTATTCCATGCTTGATTTCCCGTGATTTTCTACCACTTCCACTTTGACCTTTTTGTATCAATTCTAAAGCCTCCTCATGAGAAGGCCCCATAACAATCTTAATAAAAAATAGGCTTTATAACTAATTTTCGAATACCTCAATATGGATTGGTTGACTGTAAAGAGATGGCCTTCCCATTCTTTTACCACTTTGGTCCACAGAATCTAATTGCTCCATAACAACTTGTGGCGTATTTTGAGCTAGTCCACGGTATGGAATTTGAATGGGCTTCTCAAGGACTGTGCTTCTTATAATTATAGAGCACTTCTCTGCTTTTGCACCTGTCGCTTTGTCTGCCTTTGCGATAAAATAGTCAATTAAATCCTCCATTAACTGATCGCTCCCTTCGGGTGCATCTTCTATGTTTGTAACAGTGAACACATTTCTAAAAGATATTTAAATTAAAACAAAATTTATATTTTACCTGAAAACTCCTATTTTGAATTTAGCGCTTTTAATAGTCTCTGATGCATCTTCTCTGTAAAAATGATTGACAGAATATTTTCCAAATTTTTTAGAATAATTCATCTAAAAACTAGATTAAAATTTGTAAAATTGTTAGGTAACAAAAGAATAAACATTTTAAGAAAAAAACATTTTATATTAATTGTTTATTCTACGATTTAATTTTACTTATAAAACGTTCATCGTTTAATCTGTTTTTTCTGCCATTTCAGGTACAACTTGTTGTTCAAATCTTCCTTCAGTTTGTACTTCTTTGTCCTCTTTGATGGTTTGAATCGTGGTCAAACTATCCGCATGCTCTCTCATAAATATTATTGGAGAATCTAATTTTTAAAAATATAATATATTAGTTTTTTGTTTAACCTTCTCTCGCGATTGGTCCGTGAATGCTTGCGTGCTTGTTAAATATCTTGACTGCCATATCTAAATCTATTTTCGACCAGAATTTGCTAAACGGATTATGAAGCTCAAGATATAACTCCTCCTTGACAACTTCAGTAATTGCCTAAATTTAAATTATAAGTTATAAATTAAAATATATACAATTTTTGCCAAAGCATTCCTCTCTCTAAGTAGATATTCATGCACTTGACCTTTCGAAAGTGGATATCGCTTTTCGTGAAAATTAATAAAAGCATCGTAGAGTTCATTTTTTAGCATATTGTCGTCTTTGCGCACATATTCCAAAGTGTTTAGTTGACGTGAGAAACGTATAACGCTTTCTTTTAGACCATCAATTGCTTGTTCATACATTTCCTGATCCATCTTAATTTAAGATGTGACTAATTCAAATTAAGCTATTACCTTGATTTTTTAAAATTTTATTGTAGTTGCCTAAATTAAATAAGAAATTGATTAATTAATTTAAATATGTAAATCGAAATGACGATTTAATAATTAATTTGTTAAAAAATGATTTTATTCAAAAGTTAATATTTAATATTAATATCAATTTAATCGTTGTCTATCTTAATTTTTGCTTTTATTATCGTAGTTTTTTGTTGGTAGTCTATGTTAGACGAAGAGCAAACAGAACAAACCTTAATTACAATGGTTGGTTTCATTAAGTTTAAAAAATACCATGAAGCTAAGTTCATATTTTTCACCACTCTTCTGAAGAAAAAGATCACTAGCCATTTTCTTTGTAAGGTCAGAACATTGCGAACACTAATGGAATATTATTTAAATAAATAATTACAAAGTACCTGGTGGAGTATCCAGCAATATTTCATAAGGTTTAACAATTTCTTCTCATTTCCTTTTGTAATTCCCTCAAGTCGACGAAATTTCAATGTCTTCTCATCTTAAACTTAATTGTTTCATGTTCTATTATATAATAATACCGTTATCGAATTTTGTCGACTGCGCGCCTGATAACAAATAATTTGGTGAATTACCTGAAAAAATATACAATTATAATAATTAATTTTTTACCAAAGTATCCATTGTAGTGCATTCCTAATGAAATGTTTTTGTCCAGATCATCGGCACATAATTCTACTGTTAAAATTGACAATCCTGGATGTCCAATTTTAAATAAAAAATAGGGCCTTTTCTTCTGATGGTTGCGGCAAGATTCACACTGATATACGAATATACCACGACGTTGGTCCTTAAGGATTTGGGCTCGGTTAAGTAGTGCTGTTGGCACAACGAAATTCTTTCGTAGTTTTCCTAAAATTATTTTAATTAAGTAAAAATATTAAAATTACGACTGAGGCGCTTATCCTTATATTCTTCCTCATTTTCTCCTAATTCAATTTCTTCGTCTGAATCAGGATCACTTGATTCATCCTC